GTATATACGCCTTGGTTTCTGAAGCACTCACGTCGGCGCGTAGCGCACGGCGGCCGTATGTAGGCTGCCTGTCTTCTAGCGCATCGACCAGTGGGTGCAAAGTCAAAGCATGCATGATCATTTTTGGCAGGGTTTTGGAGAGATATGCAGCTGACACACGCGGGCGTCATTGGGTTGATGGGACGGGCTGGGATACGCGCGCGACGCGGCCGCGTCACCGGCGCATCATGCATGGTCGTCGTCCGTGGCGATCGACCGGAGCCAGTCGTCCGGACCCAACGAAATGACTTTGGAGAGCTGCTGAACGTGGTCGTACGTGGGCTTGTGCACCATGACGTCGCGCGCGCTCTCGAGCAAGTCGGGCGCGTTCCAGAGCAAAATGCCCACAATCTTGTTGGCGCGGAGGTAGTAGACAAGGCCGCGCTGGTAGCTCTCGTCGGCGCCAAACTTTTTGGGTGGCGACAGCCACACGCCGAGCGTCTGGAGGCGGCTGTCGATGTCGCCAATGCCCTCGATCGTCACGTGGATCCCGGGCATGTGGCTGCGAAACATGGGCTGGTGCCGGTACATTTTCTTGGTCGCATTCACCTAATGCCGGTGCTTAAGCCCACGAATTTCAACATCACGACGACAATATTTACCATGTTTTGGCCGGCAACGAGCCCGCTGTTGACCGCGTGGTCGTACCGGTCGACGCGGCGTCGACCAACAAACGAGTCGTAGTAGCTCGCGACGCTCCCTGCAACAAAGAGGTCCCGTACCGCCTCCAGCTGCGCGTTCACGACGATGCCTACAACAGTGTACTTTCCAGTGGCGCAAAAACACTGGATCCGAACCGCCGTGCAGCGCATCGATCTCGAGGCCGTCAAACTGCCCACACTCGACGTCCGGTTCAATTTGAGTCGATGCGAGCACAGCATAGTCGGTGACGACGTCGGCGGTCGCGGCCCCCATGCACGAGAGATGCACGCCGCCTGTCGCAATGTCGGGCTTGATACTTGTCACCAGCGTATGCGTGTGCACGTCGACGTGCGCATATGCCTGCAGCCGCCGCGTAATTTCCGCACTGAGATACGCAGGGACGTGGCGCGCGCACGGGCCTTGGCCGTCGACAAACATTTGTTGTACCTACGCGCCCGGTACATCTACCGGCATCCCATCGACGCTGAGTACCTGCAAGTGGCTGTTGCGGGGGTCTGTCGCGAGCGCCACCGCCACCTCGGTGCCCAGGAAGCCGCCGCCGACCACGGTCACGGACGTAATCGCCCGGCGTGTCGAGAGACGGTCGAGTGCGCCAAAGTCGGAGAGCGTCGTCACGGTGTTGACCTTGTCGCGAAGCGCATACGAAATCTTGGAGCTATCGAGCACGTACAAGGGCCGTGGTCTGCCCGCCGTCGCAATGAGGCACTTGTCGTACGAGATCTACAGGAGAAGAGATGTCCATCGTTGTATTCCAGTGCGAAAGCAGGGTTCGAAGCGGGTACGACCTGCGCATTGTCGGGCAGCGTGATGCGCTTTTGCTCGACGTCGACGTGCAAATTCTGCATGCCGAGCACGAGCGAGACGGACGGCGTTGCGTGCTCATCGTCAAGACGCGGTGTGATATACCGGCGCCACTCGTTGTACGACTCCATGAGCGCGTCCGAGAGCGGGGCGTCGCTTGTCGGCCCGTCCTGCGTCGCATCGAGCCGCGGCAAATGCGTCTCTTCGCTGATCATGAGAATGTCGGCAAGTGGGCTCTGCTGCAAAATAGCCTCGATGGCAGCGTGGGCTGCGGTGCACGCGCCCAGAATCACGTACGGGTAATGCCGTGGCACAGCGCCCTCCGTGGCTTCGGCCGCTTCTAGTGCAAGATTGTGCGAACTACAGTGCATCGACGGTCATACGTACCAGCTTGCTCGATGACGATGGATGGTGGGCGCTCGTCGTTGCGGCTCCGACCGCCCTGCAGGCAGAGACCAGAGGCGAGGCCCGCCCCCAGCGCGACGGCCGCGCGGCGACCCACGAACGCTCCTCGCAACATTTTTATTTCGTCGATTGGCTCGTATCCGGACGACAGGCCGGATACCCAAAAGATCGCCGCCTCTTGTGAATTGTACCATGACGTGGCACAACAGGAGAAGGCCGTTTCGAGACTGCGCCACTTTGCGCTGTTGTTTCTCAGCATCTAGTTGGACTCTAAGATTTGTTGCAGAAGCGTGACGGTGTGTGCCGGTGGCGATGATAGCAATGAGAACCCAAGCTTATTGCTCGGACTCGATACTACGAGTAGTACACAGGAGAGGGTCGCGTCGTCCAATGTGTCGTCGAAGGACGTGAAATTGTTTCTGCAAATATATACTACTTTTAGGATAGAGAGTGTATAAAGCGTTGCAGTGAAGGATCTCCCGCGAGATGGCTACGTTAACTGCGAAAATACGTGTTTTGTTTGGCGCTATGCGACAGATGTTGAGACTTGACGTTCAGTTTTCACTCGGGTAGCAAACACCATCATTCGCACTCGACGTAGGTATCCTCCGAGAGCTGAGAGAGGTACGTGGCGCGGTCCGTGTACGTGGAATAGATGGCAACCGACGCACTTAGCGTACAAGCCGCCAAGAGGGCTACTAGGAAGGTCGAGGTTGCACTTTGGCAGGTCACGCTGACGCTGGTCGCATTCGCCGCAAGCATCTTCTGCACGAGGTTTGCTTGCGACGGCGCCGTCACAATAAGCCGCTCGACAATCACCGGAAGTGATTTCGCGCTGCAGTACGATTGGCTCCACGAGTTGAGTGTCATACCATCTAGCGCCATCAGAAGCTCCGTTGCCAAGATCAGTAGATCGTCGTACCTGCGACCGTAACGACAGCAAACGCGACGGCAAAGACGGTCCAGGCCAGCATCGCCGACACCGTTGACAGCCCGAGGATGATGTACGTTGTAAAGACGCCGAGAAACGTCAACACAAAGTGAGCAATCGTGAGCCCGTCGGGCCATCCACCTTGAATCGTCAAGCCAATCGTTGAGCCATTGCTGTCGGGTTGCACGGAAATGTCCATATTGGGGGCGCCTCGACGGCGGTCAAAGCCGGTGTCCAAGCAGATCGGCGCGTCTACGTAACTTAGCAACCTTTTTCTCTATCGAAGCTACACCATACCAGAGACGATTGCGCCACCGGATGAGCGCTGGGTCGAGCTACGACGTTGTAAGGTTGGCCGACGCTCCGAGACCAAAGATACACGTACTGCATGCACGCGGCACCCGAAAATATCTGGGTGCCTCCGACGATGAGCGCAACGAGCGCTGCCGCCACGAATGTGACCTTGACGGGCGTGAGCCGCGAGTAGCGTTCGTAGACGCCAATGTCCCATTGGTTGCTCCAGGCGTGCGGCGTCGCCACTTCGCACCCGAGCCGTCCCATCATTTACAAAAGCAAGGGCGACGTTTCAGAGACGTTTCCGACGCCTTTCTGCAGTCAAAGATCTACGCGACTCACCACGTACGAGGCAGCTGCAGGTCCGCTTGATTCACTGCCACCACCGACGTCTCCCCCGAAGACCTCATTTTAGTTGATTAAGTGCCTGTATATACAGTACTAGTACTAGTACGTGTTTACACTCCCGCAACCGAGCACTCGTGGGCGTATCCATCTTGGGGCGCTAAGTGGTAATAGCTTTGTCACGGAAGCGAGATACCTCTGTCATGGAAGCGAGGCAGTTTGAGCGTACACCCAAGACGCGCAATAGGGGAAATTTGTGATGCCACTGACTGCTCTGGGTTCTCGCCAGGTGCGCACCAAAGCATCCAGCGATGAATGCCCCGGGATTGCCGCCTACACGATGCATGTTCCAGCGACCAACGCAACTGCCATTTGAAACGGATGAGCACGCGACCAAAGCGGAGCTCGACGCCCGCGGCGCTGATCAAATCGCACGACATTTCGACCAAGCAGCTCATGGACGACGCGCTCGTAGACCACGATGTGAGCGAAGACGGCGCCGACTCGGACGACACGGACGCCAAGAAGCAGCGCAAGGACGCCCAGCGCATGTACCGCATCAACTCGTACTCGTCGCTCAACAAGCTCAACAAAAAACCCGCGACGCCGGCGACACCGGCCGACGGCACACGCAAGCCAGCGGTGGTTGCCGCCGACGGGCCGTGTAAAAAGTGCCTTGCGAGCAAGGACATGCCGTCGATGCACTACGCGGCGTACGCCGGGCACCTCAGCTGCCTTCAGACGCTCCTCGCCACGGGGATCCCGCCGCCCATGGACAAGCACAAGCGGACACCACTCTTCTATGCGTGCGCTGCCAACCAAGCAAGCTGCTGCGCCGAGCTATTGGCCCAGCGCCCCGAGTGGATCGATGTCCCAGACGCGCAGCTCGACTCGCCCGTGCACGTGTGCTGCTTCTTTGGCTGGGACGCCTGCCTCGAGCAGCTCTTGGATGCTGGTGCCAACCCGCACGTGCGCAACGCCAAGGGCTTTCGCCCGTCGCACATCACAAAGACGCCGGCCTGCCTCTCGATTCTCGTCGGCCATGGGGACGATTTGCTCCAAGGTGACAAGCTCGGTCGAACCCCCCTTTTTGTCGCCTGCACACGCGACCGCGTCGACTGTGTTGAGTTTCTTTGCTCGTGGGATTACCAAGTGCATTCGTGGATGCTCGAGCAGGAAGACGACCGCAGCGACAGACCACTGCACGCCGCCGCCTGCAACGGCAGCCTCGGAAGTCTCCAGGTGCAGCATCGCTAACCTTGTGCGATGTGTCAACAAAAGAAATGAATGCAGGTGCTCCTGAAATATGGCGCCGACGTGTACGCGAAAAACGTCAAGGGACTCACGGCACTCGACTTGGCCGTCACCAACCAGCACGAAGTACTACTTCCCTTTTTCGTTTGGACAATTCGACAATCGGTATCTTGCAATTGTAGGACTGCGCGGCACTTTTGCGCCAAAACATCAAGGACACGGTACACATCGTCTATATAGGTCTGATTCTCTGGACGGTGGCATGAAGGAGAATGCCGCGACTTGGTTTGCGCCGTCACAGTCGCGCCACAACGTCGGGCCCGCGCCGACGACCGAGTGGAGCGAGTGCATGGACACGGACAGCGGCCACCTTTTCTACTACAACAACAGCACGGGCAAGTGCCAGTGGGAGCTTCCAGCGGGCTTTGTGGGGCGGCAGTCTGCTGTGACGACACCGGCGCACTTGGCGCCACTGCCAGAAGCATCGGCAGCGACCGACCCGATGCCTGCCGTCGACGACGCGACGAGTGCGACGGCCACCAACCAGGCGACCGGAGGCGTACTCGACGCTATTGTTGCATGTGTAATTTGATCATCTTTTGCACACTTGTAGGAGGAAGACGGTGGGGACTATGTGTGGGTCAAGAAGAAGAAGACACTCATCACCGTCGTCGCAAGCTCGCAGTCCGAGTGGTGCGTCGTCCAAGACCCGGGCTCCAAAGCCATCTACTACCGCAACACAAAGACGGGCGAGTCGCAATGGGAGGAGCCCGAAGCGATCCAAAAGCTGCAGCACGATGTGCACGCGCACACTTCGCAGCACGCCGCCGAGCTCTGGAACGACCTCAACAAAGCCCGCGATACCTTGGCCGCCGTACGGCACACGATATACTCGATGGTGCTCTCACATGGCGTGCAGAAGCTGGAGGAAGAACGGACGCGGCAAGCGGCATTGACGCAGACATCCATCGAGGTGTTTCAAGCCTCGATCCAGCAACGGCGTGAGGAGATGAAGCAAAAGGAACTCAAGACGCTCCTTCCGAAATCGTCGTTTGTCAAGGCCAAGCGCAAGCCTCCGTCGCTCAAAGGTGCCATCTTCATTTATTTGACAATTTACGTGCATTTTTCATGTCAATTTATCGCATTAGGACTCAAAATGAGTATGCACACAATCCAAGACGTCCCCAACGAAGACGGTCCGGAAGACGTCGTGTCCAAAACCATTGACGACGACCCAATCCTGACGCTCTTTGTCGGGTCCTTTGTCCGGCCCGACTGCCACCTCTCGACGAGCAGCAACACCACCAACACCATGGCGCAGCTGCACAAGCGGTCGGCCCGCAGCATGCAGCTCGAAATGACGGGCGTCCAGCGCATTTACAACTGCGTATTCTACTACTACCTCTCGCTCGCGGACCCGCTTGCGGCCGTCGGCATGACGTACGTCTTTGTGTCAACTTGATAATTTCGAGTTTGCACTTTTTAGAAAAGCTCAGTTTCGGACGTTTCTCAAGGACGCGTTGCTGTTACCCAACGCCGCAACGAAAGGGCCGCCACCGCCGCTCAAGTTGCACACGTCCGACATGATTTACACGCAGAGCATCATGGACGACCCGTCCCTCGCTGGTCGTGGTTGCCGTTTGTTATGGTGTCCTACCTTTGTCTTGAGTAGAAGCCCCCTCCAAGAAAGATGCTCTGCTCACGCTTCCAGCGTTCCAGGCCGCCATGATGAACGTCGCCGACCGCGTCGTGGCCCAGCTTGACGAGAAGGTCGAGGCGACGATCGACGATGCCGGCGAGTGGCTGTGCCTCGAGTACATTCTCCCGCTCGTGCGGCGGCTTGCGGGCAAAATGGCCGAAACCGTCAAACGGTATTATCGACATGACAATGATAAATTGAATTATCGCGCAGGTTTACGGACATTGAGGCGCAAATGACCAGTGCCCAAGGCCTCTTGGCGGCCAATCGGTCTCTTTTCCAGGCCTTGCACAAATTCTACAGCAGCGACTCGCGCTTCAAGCTCATGACGTTTGCAACGTTGGTGGCCTTTACGACCGACTTTGACTTGACGCCGACGCTGTGCTCGGTGCCAAGCCTCTTTCACGTGTGCGAGGCCATCAACTGGATGTCGGGCAACGCGTACACGGTCGTGCTGTCGTACGACAAGTTTGTACAAATCTGCCGGACGCTCGCGGTATACCTCGACTTGCTACGAGACCATGTCGACGTGAGCGTACTAGGTCGAGTACATCAAGGACGGCGACGACGCCACGAGCAAACTCGTTGGGTTCCTCACGCACCTCAACGCGCACCGCCACAACCGCGCGACCACGCTTTTGACGGCGCCGCTCGTGTTACCTTCATCGTTTGTCGTCGACAGCTGACATAGAGTCGACATGTGTTTGGGTACTCAACACGGAACGTTCGTTGCGGCTTCGGTCAGAGTGGGAGCGTGACGATGGCGCCACATCCTCGGCCCGTCTGGTCCGTGGCTCGTCATTTCCGTTGCAGCTGATGATCTGTTGCCTGCGTGCACACGACGCAGGGTTCCTGGCTTGGTTTTCTCGCTGCAGCTTCTCGCTGCATGTCTTTTGCCAGCGATAACCGACTCGAAGCAGCGTCTCCATCGCAATTCCCGGGTTGACGCTCGTGTTAGGCGGGCGCACCATCCAGCTCCTTTGCTCGTGATGGCGCGAGCCTGCACCACCGTTCAACCACTTTTCCACTTTGGGTCATTTGGCTTTGGGCTACGATGTCCTGTCCAAGTCCAAACCTATCCTACGCCTCCATCGCGTACAGCACCGCACAAGTGTACTGTTGTTGGTTGATTGGGCTCAAGACAAGAGGTACTGTGGTGGATAGATAGGGATTGATTGTACATTACGACACATGCAGGATAATAATTTAGATTTGAGACCATTGCGGCGCGAGCTCTTCGGTTTGGTCGGCCATCGACCGGAGGTGGTTGCAGTGCACGTGGCAGAGGCCGCCGCCGACTTCGTCTTGAAGACCCATGCGGTTACAGCCGCGCACCAAGCACACAATGTCCTTGCGGTGGATCCCGCAGTAGCCGCCACCACGGTCCGTGCGCTGGCAGTCGTCGGTCTTGCAGTGGCGCGACCCGCCGTGCTTGGCGCAAAAGAGGCCGCGCTGCGCACCGTTGTTGCAGTTTTCGTATGTGCAGCGGCGACCGCCCCCGTGCTTTCGGCAGAGGCCGTTGCCTTGCGAGCTCTTGCCGCAGCCGTCGAAGGTGCAGCGCGCGCCACCGCCATGTGCCTTGCAGAGTCCGTGCGACTGCGCCGACTTGTTGCACGTCGGGATGTTGCAGCGCTTGCCACCGCCGTGGGCGATACAGAGGTTCTTGCCTTGGCTGCCCTTGGTGCAGCCAATGACGCGGCAGCGGCGAACGCCGCCGTGCGTCTTGCAAAAGCCGCGGTACGTGATCGACGCATTGCAGTCTTCGCGGAGGCACTTGCCGGGTACTTCGTTGTGTGCGGCGGGCACGTTGCTCGTTGTCGACGTCGGTGTCGTCGTCTTGGGCGCGGTCGTGGCCGGCGGCGGCGTCGCGTAGCCCGGCAAGACGAGCGCCATCTCGATGGCTTCCGACTTGACGTTGGCAAAGTTGTTGTTGTTATCGTAAAAGCCGTACGAGGTCGTGTTCGTGGCAGCGTCAAGATCGACAAACTGGTTGTGGTAGATGATCTCGGGCGCGGGCTGGTGGTACGGGATCGGGTCAAAGCAGAGCATCGAGTCGACAAAGTCGATGGCGTTCGTCTGCACTTCGTAGGACAAGCTGTCGAACGCAAAGGCGTCCTTCTGCATATAGACAGCGTGCATGTTGCTGTTGTTGTCGTTCTGGAGCAAGTCCCACATGGGCTCTTGCTTCATGCTGCTGTACTGGCCGGGGAAATTATGCGCGTCGTGAAAGTAAGCGTCCATGGTCAGCAAATGCGCAAATGAACTGCCGCTTGTGCCAATATGGGGCTCTTGCATTCCAGCTTGGTGTTTGTATGTGATAGAAAACCCGAGTGCTAAGAGATTGGTTGTGAGTGGCACGAGTTATTTCGAGGTCACTTTGCCATAGCGCAAGATCCAGTAGAGCGTGAGTAATCCCAGCCGGTTCAATATCTCATCGCAGTTACTTTTGGCCCATGCACCATGTAATTGGGTGGGATAGAGTCATAAAGCCTTGCGACCTGTATGGCTTTCATTATTCGAGATCGTACGACGACGACGATAATGGCGCCTTGCTTGCGGTCGACACTCGACATGGATGGACCTCGATGCGATCAGCAGCAGCATTGAGGTTGGGTGATACTAGCATGTACCGTATTACTAAAATGCAAAGCACGCACCCAGATGAGCAGGCCCGCATCATCATGCACGCCGACGAGCAGCACGGTCGTGCATACAAACCGCTTCTCGAAGCGGTTTGCGTCATGCCCTCCATTAATCTTGGACCAGGCACGGGCGCACGGGGAGCTATATAAGATCTTATACTATGAGCGCGTACTGTACGACAGGCGTGGAGTGCGCCGCACGTGGCCGAATCAGTACGCGACGGTACGCGGCGTATCGGCGTTGGACAGCATCGTCAACCGTCAACTGCAAGAGGAGGAGTGGACACCCAAGCACAGAAAACATCGTCTTCCTGCTGTGGACAACGGTATCGACAACACCCAAGACGCAATACGATCTGAGTCCTCGACGATCGGACGTCGTCGCCTCGCAGCAACTGAGAACACGGGTGCGCTACAGAATACTCGTAGGACGAAGCACCCACACCTTCGTTTCGATTGAGCGGCTCCTAGAAGCCGCACATCTTGCCACGACACTGGCGGCGTCGACGAGGTCCTTTTCGCGTAGAAAGAGCCACATACACACTTGCCTGCTGCTTGAAGCGGCTGCCACGTGGCCAGTAGCAGATGGCACCTCGTTTATTCACATTTCCAGGTCAAGCCCACTTTGCACCTGCCACGAACGGTCGGCGCCAAAGATACGCGGCCACCGCCCCGTGCATGGACCCAACAGAGGACAAAGGACCATTTGGGGCACGAGGGTGCACAACAGGACAACGCACGTGTCTCTGTGCTCCTTTGCTTGTTGTATGTTCTTGGCGCGAGGACTTGATGGCGACGCGACAGTCCTACCTCCTGGCCTTTGTGGACGCAGACAAAGATGCGGTGAGATGAGGTTGCTGTTGTCGCGGTGCACCTCTTTGCAACGTGTAACGGGTTGCCACGCCGCCGCATCCGACGGGCGCCTTTTGCAGCGGACGGTCATGGCCGGCCGTCGGCAACGTGCATGCCACTCTACTCCCAGTACACCGCGATGTGGCTGCCATACACCTGTACAATTGCTGAATGCTCGACGATCCGGTCCGACAGCCCACGATGAGATGTTGATTAGCCGTCGTCCGCCCGTTGCTTATTGATCAACCGGTGCTCCGTCATCCAAAAGCGATGCGAGTACTCAATGTACCGTAGTAGCACTCGTACGTTGTCGACAACAACGAGAACGGTGACCCACCACGGGCTTTCGGCCACGGGACGGGCCAAGTGGACCTGTAGGGATGAAGCAGATTACGATGATGCAAGAAGCGTCGAGTGACACATTATTGGCTCGGCTATGCAGGCGAGTTATCACGACAGCTGGGGCAACGAAAGACTGGTGACAGCCACAAACGACGATGGGAATGGATCGTCAACGACATCAAGCGGCACGTTGGTGGCGAGGTCGACCACCGCGAGCGTCGGGCAGTACCCTGCGAACGCCACGTACGTGATCGACCACGTCGACACATTTGGTGCGACGACCGTCTCGGCCGAGACGACCACCGGCAACCCCAGTAGCTTTTGCAACGCAGTTTGTAGTCCGGTCGACGTGAGGTTGGCGAGCAGCGTCGTGTTAGCCGGTGTCGCGATCGCCGTGACCGACACCGTCTTGTTGGTAGCACTTTTGGACAACGACTGGTTGAGCCACAGAGTCTGGATGCGAGGCGGGACTTGCCACACGACGGTCGAGTTGACACTATTCGCTCGTGCCGCCGGTGCCACCGAGCACTGGGTCGTTGCGTAGCAGGCACTCACATTATGAAGCGCGCGCACTGCCGACGACGACGTGAACGCTTCTGGCGACGAGCAGTTGCGGATGTAGCCCGAGAGGTCGATACCGTCGCCAATCGCGCCGGTTGCAAAGAGGCGCGAGATGGACGGAAAGGCTGCTTGCATGATGCAGTTGGTGAGCGCGTTGCACGTCGGGTCCGGGAGGCACGTCGCGGTGAACATCGACCAGCACTGGGCGCATGGGTCTATAATACACCGAGTTGGTAATACCTTCAAACCATAACTGCGGCGTACCGGTCGGTGGCACGAGATTGGGCGCGCGCGAGTAGTTGGCCATGGGCAGCGTGAGGAGACCGATCGACGGGTACCGCATATTTTGGACGGTCGCCACCGTCAAATTGGGCAACGTCGACGGGAGCGCAATGCCGGGCAGCGGGCTCAAGCTCGTGCTAAAGAAAATGTCGTACGACACGGGCAGCGTCGCGTTGAGCGAGAGGTCAAGGTTGTACACCACGGTCACCTGCGAATCGTTGAGATTGCAGTTTTGAATCGTCTTTGCAATGGCACTCGGGAGCTGCGACGCGGTGAACGACACCACGCACGGCATAAGGATCGTCGACTGGTTGACGTCGCTCTTGTACGGTCGTGTGACGCTGACGTTCAGCGGCAACGCGTCCGAGAGGCGATTCATGCGCAGCTGCGTCCACCCGACCGCCGAACTATACCACGCGAGCTGCGTCGTTCCGTTCGAGTCTATACATACAGACACACTATGACACTGTGAAGGTGCGCTTGTTTGTACAGAAAGGACAGGTGCGCGCGACGAGACATTGCATTGCACTCGTAAAGAGGGTGCGGCTCGGTGTCGCGGCCGCCGGTGTGATCATGCACGCTGTGATGTTGGGCGTCACATCCACAACGCTTCCGATCGTCGAGGCTGCGAGAACGGCACTGGCATTACGGAGTGATTGCTGGGCACAAGAGAGGAGCGACGAGCAGTTGGCATCGGCGCTGCAGCGCGCAACAAGCGGCGTGCAGAGCGCGCAGGCCTCGGCCTCGGTGGTCGCATACGAGGCGTTGCTCGGTGCGCCTTCGTGGAGGTGCACCAAAAGCGACACCTCGTTGCTGTTGCGGATGTACGCGCGGTAGTCCGTGTACATGGGCACCTGGCTACTGCTCGTACTCGTGATCGTCGACGTGGCTTCATTGGCGCTAAGCATCGCGGCCGACACATCAACGCTGATGGTCGCCTTGTCACTTGCGCGAACCAAGTCGAGCTGAACGTGGTCGAGGGGCGCCGTCATCGCAGAGCCGTAGAAGGTCCAGACGCTGGCGTTGCCGGGCGGCACCCGCGCCCCCAAGCCGCTGGCAAAGACCGTGCCGTTAAGAAAACTCGTTGCCTTGACACGCGAGAGGAAAAAGCTGTTGTTGCCGGCACTATTGTTCCACACCACGTGCAAGCACCACGGAGCCGGACACGGACTCGGCGGCGACGAAAACACTGGTGCGAGGGCCGTGTCCGAGACTATGAAATTCGTAATCACGGACGTGTCGACGACGCCACCGTCGATGGCCGTCACCACTTGCGCCGGCGTTGCATTGATACTGTCGACAGTCACCATGAGCCCGAGGCGCACCGCGTCGTGAAAGCCGTAGGCGTCCATGAGATCGGCGAGACGCAAGAAACCACCGGCCGGCAACGGCTTGCCCTGCACGAGGAGGTTTGTGATTGTGCCGGGCGGCAGCGATGTCGTGTTCAGCGGGATCCCGTGCACGACGAGCGTCTCCATCAAGCTAAACTGAGTCGTGTTGCTGACGGCCAACGGCGCGAACCGAACCGAGGACGAGTTGAGAAGGTCTTGCATGGCCACGCGCATGCGGCAGAGCGTTGCACCGGAAAAGTAGACGCCCTCAAGTCCGTTGGGCGATAGAAAGCGGAGCGTCACGAGGAGAAACGGTGTCGTGCCAAAGATACTGGTGACGGTCGCCGGCGGGTGTAGCCCCAGCCACGGGGCCGTCGGCGCGGTGCTGACGTGATTGGTCACGATCTGCGAAGAGATGTTACCAATGTGCGACGTCAAGTAGCCCCCGACGTCCCCGATTGACGTGAGGAAGGCGACGAACGCGTCGCTCGTCACGTTGCCGTACCCGGTCGCCGTCACGGCCAGCGCGACCTCATACGACTGCGCGTCACTCAGCGAGGCATTCGGGCCCGCCAAGACGTCGATGGTCTGCAGCGCGACATCGACGTTGGAGGCGTTGAGACTGCCCATGGTGACGGGCAGTGCAAAGCCGCGCAGTTGCGTCACCAGCGCATTTTCGCTTGCCTCAATCACAGAAAGCAGCTCGTTCTGCCACGTCAGACTCACATACACTACGAGGTTGGTGGGCGACGGTGCCGTCTGCGCCACTACGGCAGCGATAGCCACCGAGAACCACCGCAGCCATGCCATCGTTGCTCGGTGTTGACAAAGGAGGAATCTAAAGTCGCGCGACCTTTCCTCGCCGGCTCGTCTATCCGGACAGTGTCCGGAAACGCGCGACGGCTGCGACGG